CACGCTTCAGCTAGGTTTGGGGTGTGTGGGGTTGAGGGTTATAGAGCTGTTTCGGGAGTTTGGCATTCTGTGCAAGCGCCTCAATACTCAGCTCAAAACCTGCCTGCTAAGCTGCGGAAGCCCCAGCCCGTTGTTGCAAAACCTTCACTACCTTAAGGACCGAATGAACCCCAAAAACGGTTTAGGGTTCGTATGCCCGAATAGGGAGAATAATTTGTGGGATAGGGTGTGTGGGCCCGTTTTTAGGGTTGGTTTGGTCCCCAATGGGCACTATAGAAAGTGCTCCCATCTTGCACCGACCTCCTAAACCCTAAACCCTAAACCCCAAACCCTTGGTCATCTGGAGCATGGACTTGGGGGCCCGATCTCGGCTGAAGGAATGCACTGCAAAAGCTTCTAAAGCCACAAGAGGAATGTAGAACAGTCCGCACATGGGAGTTTCGGAAGTTCGGGGTACCTTTTCGGGTCCCTATCATAAGGGAATCCTACGATTTCGGGGACAAATTTTAGGGGTCCTTCCCTTTTTGTTTCGTGAACCCCCCACATGTCTCGAACGTTTATGGCCAAGGCGAGAGGCAAAGTGTCTCACGCCCCAATACATGGTAAGGCAGCCTGAAGAATTCCAAGAACATCTTTGCAACATCCCCACAAACGTAACTCGCAGCTTGCTAAGCTAGTTTCTCACAGGACCTGGCGGTGAATCGCGACGAGATCGAGGATGCAAGGCGCCTCGGAAGGATTTTGGGGTCCACTGTTCTGTTGGTCAATTCTTGAATATGCGGATGCCCGAAATATAGGGCTCCGTATTCTAACTTGAGGGGGAGAGGCGATTGGAGTTCTCTTGGTGTTAGGGCACTGTCTTCCTTTTTGTCCCTTTCAACAAATCAAGGCACTGCAGTACCCGGTCCCCGAAAAGTTGATGCCCTATAGAACTGAGCCCACAGATTGTCCAAGAATTGCCTTCAGAGCAGGATGGGCTGTTAGACCTTGCAACCCTGTTTAACAAAAGCCCTGTGTATGGGGTTGCTTGTGGGAATCTGGGGGCCTGATAGCCCATCCTGGGACCATATATACCCTATGCTACTATACTACTATACTCTATACTACTATACTACTATACTACTATACTACTATACTACTATACTACTATACTACTATAAGACTATACTGCTACATACTACTTAGGCATATGAACCATAAACCCTTTTTAGGGGGTTCATTTTTGTCCTTCGTGAGGCCCTCCTCCGTCCGCTGAGGTGGTTCACGCGCGTGGAGGTGCAGCAGATGCTGCAGCAGCTGAGTGAAATCTTGCGAACTCCCTATTCCCTGCTTAGCTACATGGACCCTTAGGTTACGTCCTCTGGGACTGAAGACACGCAACAACATCTCAGTTCACGGCGTCGAGTTCGATCCACCCAGGGTTTAGGTTTTAGGGCTTAGGGTTTAGGGCTTAGGGTTTAGGGTTAGGTTAAGGGTTTAGGGTCCCACCTCAAATCACAGAGCACAAGTTGTTCATTCGACCAGGCCTCCCCAAGGGACCAGTTCAAACCTCAAGAGGTGCGACCATATACCGTATGCCACGATCATCCCTCTTAGGCTACATGAACCCTAAACCGTAACCCCTAACCCGTAACCCTAAACCCTAAACCCTAAACCCTTTTCGGGTTCCTTCGGCCCTTGCGGATGCCCCGCCCCCAAGAGTCCCAAGGCACAAGCATCCCGCCGGCTTGTATGTTCCCCCGCGCTTCGCCATCGCCGCTCGCAAGGGAAACCCGGTGTTTAGGGTTTTGGGTTTTGGGTTTTGGGTTTTGGGTTGAAGGCTGTGAGGGCTTTTCGGCCACTTGGGATGTTTGGAGTACCTTAAACGCTAAACCCTAAACCCTAAGATGTGCTTGTAGGGGGTTCTAGCCATTTCCGGAAGACATCAGTTTTTTCACACTGAAGTCCCAATTCCTGAACACCGTGTACTGGAACACCCCATATCAGCGGGTGCAGCTGGGGCCATGGGGCTCCTTTTGGACCCTAAACCCTAAACTCTAAACCCTAAACCCTAAACTTAGGCCCTAAGCCTCAAACCCCAAACCCCAACCCCAAACCCTAAACCCTAAACCCTAAACCCTAAACCCTAAACCCTAAACCCTACAAACTCTAAACCCTAAACCCTAAACCCTAAACCCTAACCCTAAACCTCAAACCCTAAACCCTAAACCCTAAACCCTAAACCCTAAACCCTAAACCCTAAACCCTAAACCCTAAACCCTAAACCCTAAACCCTAAACCCTAAACCCTAAACCCTAACCAGCTTGGAGTTTTCTTCTCCTCATCCCAGGCCAACGCGCTCATTACGGAGTTTGCCACCTCCTCACGGACCTTACCTGCTGTAGGCTCGCAGCCCCAGGGCCTGGCGTTTCGGGTTTAGGGTTTAGGGGTTAGGGGTTAGGGGTTAGGGTTTGGGGCGAGGGGATACCTTAAGAACCACATGAACCCTAAATTGGGATCCATTTACCCGAGCCTGCTAGAATCTCTACTGGAGTATATGAGCCACATACCCCTCACCCAAATGGACCTGAAAGTTCGGACCAGACACCCTATACAGCTATACAGTAACCCCTACTGGGGTATGTGAACCATAAACCCTTCACCCAAATGAACCCGAACAATTGGGACCATATACCCTATGCTGCTATAGTCCCTACTGGGGTATGTGAACCATAAACCCTTCACCCCTTCACCCCCCCCTACACCCCCCAAGAAACCCCCACCACCCCCCCCCCCCCCCCCCCCAAACCCACCAAGGCCCGGCCAGCGGCAACCTGCCTATGCTGGCGGGCGCAGCCGCCATAGGCCCGGCGCTCAAAGCCAAGCACTGCACTCTCCTGCAACTGCCCTAAACCCTAAACCCAAACCCTAAACCTTATATACCCTAAACCCTATAAACCCTAAACCCTATATGTAATGACAAGGACCCTTCCAACCCCAAGGGCTTGCAAAGCGGCTTGAAACCCTGAGGCTTGCAACCCTTGCATATCTTGCGTCCCTCGCGAGGCGTAGGACCCCCCCCCCCCCCCGGCTTATCGCAGTAGTTGCACCAAACTCACCAAAATCTATCAAGCTTGGTTTCTTTCTTTTTTTTTGTGACATGATGACATGGACGGTTGTGGCAGAGCCTTTGCTACCTACACAGCCTCACCTCACTCCAAGCTCGAACTCTAAGCCGCCTAGGGCGTAGAAAGAATGTTTAAAGTGTTCGGGCTTCAAAGTGTTGGATCCTGGCTTCGTGTTGTTTAGAGATGTCTTGGTGAAGGGTTTAGGGTTTACGGTTGGGGTTCTGGGCGTGTTAGCGGTTCAGAGTATACACGAGTGCAAAGGCGAGAGGCACGAAGGGACCTCCAGGTCACAATGGAAATGGGGGACCAGATCAGGCTACGGCTTCAGGGGCAAGACGATTGTACTGTGTGTATGTGTGTATGTTTGGAAATGTATGTATAAGTCAGCATGTACTCATACATATTGTGACTATAAGGGAAGGGGGGGAGTGAAGAAGGGGGGTGTCTTCTGGGCAAACGACGGAAAACGTACGCTACGTCACCAAATCAAGGGGCCCCGTACTGGCGGTAGGGTCTTGCGTTTTGGGTTTGGGTTTTTGGGCTCAGGGCTCAGTGTTTAGGTCTTACAACCACTTCTAGTTTGCGGACTTACGCGCATGCTGCGGAACCCATCCTTGATGCTGGCGCTTGAGAGCGTGCTTTCAGCAAATGTGCGAGGCTGCAGCAACTACCCAGAAACCCTAAACACAACCCCAACTCGGCTGTACACAGCCCTTGAAAATCCCGGCCCGAAACCATGAAATCCCCCACCAACTCTCACCTAAACCCGAAACCCTAAAACCTAAACCCCAAACCCTAAACCCTTAAACCCTAAACCCTAAACCCTAAACCCTGAACCCTAAACCCTAAACCCTACAAGAAAGGTTTAACCCTGGACCCGAAGCCGCGGCCCTCTTTGTCTCAAGGCGTCTTTGTCGGTTTGGCCATCGCCAAACTGCGCCCGCGGCTCTAGCCGATCTGTGCCCCTCTAGACAGATGGGGTAGTTCTCTAGATTTCGGTCCCTTTTTGAATCCTTATTCGAAAATAATAAATATATTTTATAAATAATGGAAATATATTTTTTCACGTACTTACGGCACCCTGAAAATCAGGACCCCAGAAAGGGACCCTAATTCAAATACCTCGGCCTTCCCGGACCTTGCAACAGACATTCTTACCCCTAAACCACCCTACACCCTAAACTCCGAACCCTACATCCCAAGCCCTAAACCTAAACCCTATAGCCCACCAGGGAGCCTGACCCCCTAGAACGCAGAGAAGGGCCAACACTCTTTTGTCTTCGGTCGGGTTTCGGGTTTCGGTCTGTAGAGACTCTTCCTCAGCCCACACCGGCCCTTTTTCTCGCGATGTTCGCGCCGTTTTTCGCGTCGCACGCCCAAAGATCGAGTCAAAAGGACAAGTGTGCGACCTTGGGCCGTGGTTGACTCCAGTAGCCAAAGAACCAGATGACGCCGTAGTCGTATGGTAGTCATGGGGTCCTGAACTCTAAAATCTAAACCCTAAATCTTAAACCCTAAACCCTACACCCTAGACCCTAGACCCTAAACCCTAAACCCTAAATGGACCCAAAACCCTAAACCTTAAACCTTAAACCCTAAACCCTACCCATGCATTTGGCCCATATCAGTCGGGGCACCAGACTTAGTGTTTACAGGCATTTGTAGGGGTGTGTGTTCAGGGGGTTCAGAACGTTTCGTCTTTGCTGCGAGCACTTAGGGTCTGAGGATTGTCGCGGTTTACAGTGGTAGGGGTGAGGGTTGCCTTGCGGAGTTCAGGGTTGAGGATGAGCAGGGCGATCTTTAGGGTGAAGAAGGTAGGGGTGTAGGGTGTTCAGGGTTTGGGACCCATTGTGAGCCTTTGCGGTTTCGAGATGCCAGCTGATGCACCCCAAGGCATCAAGGGCATCATGGGCCTTGGCGACAAGATGTCGCCCCCCGCCTTGACAAGAGGGACTTATCACGTTTTTTGGGCTGCATGGCAGCCCTAAGCCTAGGACCTTAAACCCAGAAACCTGCAAGCTTGATTCCGGGTACCCCAAAAGGGACCAGAATAAGTTTTGAGAACTGATCATATGGGCGGTTCCCAAGATAGGGGTAGGGGTACCTCTTTATAGAATGGAATCACCTTGAAGGGACCGCTTCCCCCGCCCCCCCCCCCCCCCCCCCCCCCCCCCCCCCCCCCCCCCCCCCCCCCCCCCGTGTGCAGCTTAAATAGGGTCTATTTGGAAGCTGAGACTCGTGTTTTAAAGAGGAAATAAGGCCCCAAAACGTATACTTATTTACAAGAGACAACTTCCAAATAGACCCTATTATCGTTTCTGGGGGGTCTGGGGCAAGGAATTAAATAATTTAAATAATTTAAATCCGAAAGGGGCGTTCCGGATTTAAATTATTTAAATTATTTAATTCTGGGAGGGGGAGGGGGCCTGGGCCTGGCCCCCCGCCCCCTTTTCGGATTTAAATTATTTAAATTATTTAAATTATTCAAAGTATTTAAATTATTTAAATTATTTAATTCCGGGGGGGGGAATTAAATAATTTAAATAATTTAAATCCGAACCCCCCCTTTCAGATTTAAATTATTTAAATTATTTAATTCCCCCCCCGGAATTAAATAATTTAAATAATTTAAATAATTTAAATAATTTAAATAAATTAAATCCGAAAAGGGGGGGGGGGGCAGGCCCAGGCCCCCTCCCCCTCCCAGAATTAAATAATTTAAATAATTTAAATCCGAAAGGGGCGTTCCGGATTTAAATTATTTAAATTATTTAATTCTGGGAGGGGGAGGGGGCCTGGGCCTGGCCCCCCCCCTTTTCGGATTTAAATTATTTAAATTATTTAAATTATTTAAATTATTTAAATTATTTAAATTATTTAAATTATTTAATTCCGGGTGGGGGGGGGAATTAAATAATTTAAGTAATTTAAATCCGAACCCCCCCTTTCAGATTTTAAGTTATTTAAATTATTTAATTCCCCTCCCGGAATTAAATAATTTAAATAATTTAAATAATTTAAATAATTTAAATAATTTAAATAATTTAAATAAATTAAATCCGAAAAGGGGGGGGGGGCCAGGCCCGGGCCCCCTCCCCCTCCCAGAATTAAATAATTTAAAAAATCTAAATCCGAAACGCCCCTTTCGGATTTAAATTATTTAAATTATTTAATTCTGGGAGGGGGAGGAGGCCTGGGCCTGGCCCCCCCCCCCCCTTTTCGGATTTAAATTATTTAAATTATTTAAAATTTACATTATTTAAAATTATTTAATATTTAATTCGGGGGGGGTGGGATTAAATTTAATTTAACTAATTTAAAATCCGAACCCCCCCTTTCAGATTAAATTTTTTTTTTTTTTTAAATTATTTAATTAACCCCCCGGCATTAAATAATTTAAATATTTAAATAAATTTAAATAATTAAATAATTTAAACCGGAAAGGGGGGGGGGGGGCAGGCCCCACCCGGCCCCCTCCCCCTCCCAGAATTAAATATTTTAAATAATTTAAATCCGAAAGGGGTGTTCAGGATTTAAATTATTTAAATTATTTAATTCTGGGAGGGGGAGGGGGCCCGGTGGGGCCTGGCCCCCCCCCTTTTCGGATTTAAACTATTTAAATTATTTAAATTTTTTAAATTATTTAATTCCAGGGGGGAATTAAATAATTTAAATAATTTAAATCTGAAAGGGGGGGTTCGGATTTAAATTATTTAAATTATTTAATTCTCCCCCCCGGAATTAAATAATTTAAATAATTTAAATAATTTAAATAATTTAAATAATTTAAATCCGAAAAGGGGGGGGGGCAGGCCCCACCCGGCCCCTTCCCCCTCCCAGAATTAAATAATTTAAATAATTTAAATCCTGAACGCCCCTTTCGGATTTAAATTATTTAAATTATTTAATTCTGGGAGGGGGAGGGGGCCTGGGCCTGCCCCCCCCCCCCTTTTCGGATTTAATTTATTTAAATTATTTAAATTATTTAAATTATTTAAATTATTTAAATTATTTAATTCCGGGGGGGGGAATTAAATAATTTAAATAATATAAATCGAACCCCCCCTTTCAGATTTAAATTATTTAAATTATTTAATTCCCCCCCCGGAATTAAATAATTTAAATAATTTAAATAATTTAAATAATTTAAATAAATTAAATACGAAAGGGGGGGGGTGGGGCAGGCCCCGGCCCCCTCCCCCTCCCAGAATTAAATAATTTAAATAATTTAAATCCGAAAGGGGCGTTCCGGATTTAAATTATTTAAATTATTTAATTCTGGGAGGGGGAGGGGGCCTGGGCCTGGCCCCCCCCCCTTTTCGGATTTAAAATTATTTAAATTATATAAATTATTTAAATTATTTAAATTATTTAATTCCGGGGGGGGGGAATTAAATAATTTAAATAATTTAAATCCGAACCCCCCCTTTCAGATTTAAATTATTTAAATTATTTAATTCCCCCCCCCTGAATTAAATAATTTAAATAATTTAAATAATTTAAATAATTTAAATAGTTTAAATAATTTAAATCCGAAAAGGGGGGGGGGGCAGGACCGGGCCCCCCCCCTTCCCAGAATTAAATAATTTAAATAATTTAAATCCGAAAGGGCGTTTCGGATTTAAATTTTTTAAATTATTTAATTCTGGGAGGGGGGGGGGCATCATCATTTTCATCTTTTTCGTCATCTCCTTAATATCCTTTTTTTCCTTCATCTTCATCATCTCCATCATCTCCATCATCTTCATCATCTCCTTCATCTCTTTCATCTCGCTGAGCTCGTTGAACTCTATCATCTTCATCTTTATCATCTTCTTCATCTCCCTCATCTCCCTCATCTTCATCATCTGCTTCATCTCCCTCAGCTCGTTCATCTTCATCATCTTCATCACCTTCATCTTCTTCATCATCTTCATCATCTTCGTCATCTTGCATCATCTTCTTCATCTTCCTCATCTTTCATCATCTTCTTCATCTCCATCATCTCCCATCATCTTCAGTCTGAAAAACTCAAATATTCACCACCGTTCGCGGGGGGCTCCGCCCCCCGCACCCTCTGGATCGAGGGCTTGCCCCCCTCGAGCTCCCCCCTTCCCCTCAAGGCCCCCCAGGGGGCGAGCAGGGGGGAGACCCCCCCGCTACGCCCCCCCCCCCCCCTCATAAACTGAAACTACTAGACCCATAAACCCAAAAATCCCCAAACCCTTAAACCTCTCAATTTAGTGCATAAGCATGCGTCATTCGCAGGGTGTGCTCCTCGCGGGGGTGGTGGTGGTTGCCGTTAGAAACCAAAAAAATCAGGTTAACAAAATGGGGCTTTTCTTTTGTGGTATTGTCTGGTGGTGGTGGTGGTGGTGGTGGTGGTGGTGGTGGTGGTGGTGGTGGCCGTTCAAAACCAAAAAATGAGGTTAACAAAATGGGGTTATTTTTGGGTGGTATTGTCTGGTGGTGGTGGTGGTGGTTGCCGTTTGAAACAAAAAATGAGGTTAACAACATGGGGCTTTTTTTGGTGGTATTGTCTGGTGGTGGTGGTGGTGGTCGTTCAAAACCAAAAAATGAGGTTAACAAAATGTTTTTTTTTTTGGTGGTATTGTCTGGTGGTGGTGGTCGTGGTGGCCGTTCAAAACCAAAAAATGAGGTTAACAAAATGGGGCTTTTCTTTTGTGGTATTGTCTGGTGGTGGTGGTGGTGGTGGTGGCCGTTCAAAACCAAAAAAATGAGGCCCCCAGGGGGCGAGCAGGGGGAAGACCCCGGAAAGGGTAGGAACAACATTTAAGAGGTCAAAATTTGCCGGGATCCCCTTGGCACCGTGCACATGGCCTGCAAATACCACACAAAACCGGAAAGGGTAGGAACAAAATTTGCCGGTCAAAATTTGCCGGGATCCCCTTGCATGGCACCCTGCAGAAGTCCTGCAAATACCACACAAAACGGGAAAGGGTAGGAACAACATTTGGGGGTCAAAATTTGCCGGGATCCCCTTGGCACCGTGCACATGGCCTGCAAATACCACACAAAACCGGAAAGGGTAGGAACAACATTTGCCGGTCAAAATTTGCCGGGATCCCCTTGGCGCCCTGGAAAAGTCCTGCAAATACCACACAAACAGGGAAAGGGTAGGAACAACTTCGCGGGTCCAAATCTGCCGGGATCCCCTTGGTGCCCTGGAAAAGTCCTGCAAATACCACACAAAACGGGAAAGGGTAGGAACAACATTTGCCGGTCAAAATTTGCCGGGATCCCCTTGGCACTCTGCAAAAGTCCTGCAAATACCACACAAAACGGGAAAGGGGTAGGAACAACATTTGGGGGGGCAAAATCGCAAGCCCTGCTCCCTAAGATTTGGTCCCTAAGATGTTAGGTTCAAGTTTTCCTCCAAAAAGCCAAATCGCAAGCCCTGCTCTCCAAAATGTTGGGTTCAAGTTTTCCTCCAAAGAGACAAATCGCAAGCCCTGGTCCCTAAGATTGTGGGGTCATTCTTTGCTCCAACGAGTCAAATTCACAAGTCCTGGTACCTAAGATTTGGGGTGGCTCTTTGGAGGAAAACTTGAACCCACAATCTGCGGGACCAGGGCTTGCGATTTGACTCTTTGGAAGAAAACTTGAACCCAAGTTTTTCGGGACCAGGTGGACCAGGGCTTGCGATTTGGCTTTTTGAAGCCAAACTGGAAGCCAAAATCTTAGGGGCCGGGGCTTGTGATTTGGCTCTTTGGAGGAAAACTTGAACCCCAAATCTTAGGGACCAAGGCTTCCGGTTTGCCCGCAATCTTAGGGACCAGATTTGGGTCTTTTGAGGAAAACTTGAACCCAAAATCTTAGAGACCAGAGCTTGCGATTTGGCTCTTTGGAGAAAGCTTGAACCCAGCATCTGCGGGACCAAGGCTTGCGATTTGGCTCTTTGGAGGAAGACTTGAACCCAAAATCTTAGGG